GGGGAGCCGCGCGTGACCGAGCCACGGGGTGATCCCACCCGTGCGGTGATCCCACCTGTGCAGACACCATCCCTGTGGGGGTCCCACCTGCATGGTGATCCCACCCCTGTGCAGACACCACCCATGTAGTGATCCCACCTGCATGGTGATCCCACCCACACGGTGATCCCACCCTTGCACAGACACCATCCCTTTGGGGGTCCCACCCGTGCAGGGATCCCACCCCTGCGCAGACACCATCCCTGTGGTGATCCCACCCGCATGGTGGTCCCACCCTTGCACCTACATCACCCGTGCGGTGATCCTACCCGTGTGCCGACACCATCCATGTGGTGATCCCACCTGCATGGTGACCCCACCTGAGTGGTGATCCCACCCTTGCACAGACACAATCCCTGTGGTGATCCCACCCATGTGCAGGGATCTCACCCATGTGCAGACACCACCCATGTGGTGACCCCACCCGCATGGTGGTCTCACCCTTGCACCTACACCACCCGTGCGGTGATCCTACCCATGTGCCGACACCATCCATGCGGTGATGCCATCCTTGCGCAGACACCATCCATATGCTGATCCCACCCGCATCGTGATTGTGGTGACTCAGCCCACGTGGTGATTCCACCCTTGCACAGACACCATCCCTGTGGGGGTCCCACCTGTGCAGCGATCCCACCCATGTGCAGACACCATCCATGTGGTCATCCCACTCACATGGTGATCCCACCCTTGCACAGACACCATCCATGTGGTGATCCCACCCGTGCGCAGACACCACCCATGCGGTGATCCCACCCATGCGGTGATCCCACGCTTGCGCAGACACCACTCACGTCCCAGTGCCAGGCGTGTGCCCAGCGGTGCCACCCGTACCCTACTGGCACAGCCCAGCTCTGCGCAGAGGGGCCCTGGCTGAGCCCGGGTGCTCACCTCCGCGCGAGGAACCCCACGCAGCTCCTTCCCACAGAACAGCTCCTTTATTTTTGACGTTACCGTGCCTCGGGCCGCTCCATTTTCAGCACGTGGGTACAGGGAGAGGAGTCACTCAGTACCAAGACAACCTTGCTTCACCCTGGGGACCTCAGTGGCCAGAGAGCCACCAGCCGGAGCAAGGGTTCTGCTGTGAGTCTGGGGGGAGATGGTTCTTTCCCAAAGGGATAAAAAGAACGCAGAAGCGTGGATTGTGTTTATGTCTTTTCCCCTCTCCTGAAATTTGAGCTGTACTTGCTAATCTGATCTGAATCAGCCCTGGGCACGTGTTAGAAACGGCACAGACACCTTTTAATAGGAACAGGACCGATTTGCTACCCGTATTTCAATTTCAAGCCCCAGATACAACGATTGGCAGGGAAAAGCAGCCACTTGACAATAAAACCAAAGGACGCCTCGAGGCCAGGTCAGAGTTCGAACCGGCTGTGTATGTGTTTCGATTTTAACTTGTTGTACTTGGTGATCAGGTCCAGCTTACTGTGTCCCAGCGTCATTCTCTTCTCAGCCCCGTAGGCGCTGTTGTTCTCCATCAGCATGTCCTCAGGGAGTTTATCGTAGCACGGAACCACGGGCTTTTTCTCTCGTTTCAGCTGGTGGTATGGGGAGAGCAGGTCCAATTTCCCTTCTCTGGGACCTTGTCTTTTTTCCACCCCGTAAAAAGTGTTGTCACGTTCTGCTGTCGGGTCCCTGGAGGCAGCAGCAGGCCCTTTCTGCGCCGTGCTTCTCCCGTTGCTGCTGGCACCCTCCGAGAGGGATGCCAGTGTCTGCTCCTGTCTCACTGGGGAGCCATGGCTGTTGTTAGCCTTGCTGTCCCCTTGGTAACTGGGTTTACTGGAGCTCAGGCCAGGGGAAGGCTCTGGCTGCACGAAAGTCCTTGCTGTCATGAGATGAGATCTGTGATACGGGGCCGGGGCGGATTGATGTGGAGGACAGTTGGGTGAGTCTGGTGGTTCTCCTTGCTGCTTAGGGCAGGTGGGCTTCAGAGCTGTGTCTTCCCTCCCCTTGCTATTACCAGTGTCAGAGCTGGAATCTTGCTTTTCCTGGTGTACATTGCAGCTGGAGTTTTTCAGAAAGGGAGACATTTTTATGCTTCTGACGCTGACGTTGGAAAGGCTGCTGGAGGGGCTCGAGGCTTCAGCGTCGTTCGCCTGCGCGGGTTTCAAAAGGGAGCTGGCAGCTTGTGAGGCGCTCGGAGCAGAGGGGCACGTTCCGGGATCCGGCAGGCAGAAGCTGGTCACTGCGCTGGACTCTGCGTACAAGTACCGGAATTCCTTCTCAAACTCCGCAACAATCTGACCACGGAAGTGGGTCACCAGGCTGGTGTGGACTTGGCTGCAAAGCCAGGTGAAACTGCGGAAAAAGGAAAAGAAACCTCACATGTAACATTGGTTCACAGAGCGCCAGGACACCTAGCACGGGTTTTAACATCAAGTGATGTATTGCTACCCAACCCGTGTCATTAAAACCTCCTCTGAAGCATGCAAGTCTGACAGTGCTTGTAGAGATGAACGTGCTCGTTAAATAATTACAAAAGAACAACCCTAAAATGGTCATTTAGTGTCAGCTCGGTGATGTAATGAACTGTATGAAAATATAAACAATGAACAAGGAATATCAGCCGGTTCTCCTCAGCCTTATGAAGGACGCAGAGCAGCAACCGGTCCCTGCCTAAAAAGTGCAGCAGCACCTTTCAAGCCTTTTCTTCTCCAGGCTGAGAGGGGACCTTCTAAATGCCTGTAAATATCTTCAGGGTGGGTGTCAGGAGGACGGGGCCAGACTCTTTCCAGTGGTGCTCAGCGACAGGACAAGGGGCAACGGGCACAAACTGAAGCAGAGGAAGCTCCAGCTGAACATGAGGAAGAACTTCTTCCCTCTGAGGGTGACGGAGCCCTGGCCCAGCTGCCCGGGGGAGGCTGTGGAGTCTCCTTCTCGGGAGATATTAAAGCCCCGCCTGGATGCAGTCCTGTGCAGCCTGCTCTGGGTGACCCTGCTTGGGCAGGGGGTTGGACTGGGTGACCCACAGAGGGCCCTGCCAACCCCGACCATTCTGTGATTCTGTGATTCCTCTTCCCAGCATGCTCTGGCCATGAGCAAGGAACCATCATTTCCCATTGCCCATCCCCTTGCTTGGATCAAGCAGGCTAAGAGATGTCTGTCTGGAGGTGGTGTGGCTATGGGATGATGAGATACAGAGCACAGGGCGCTGAAGGGCTCTTTCTGCCCGGTTTGTGCTGCAGACTGGCTAGCTCGGCATTTGGCTAGCACAGCTCACTGCCGCCATACCTTCCAGAGAGGGCAAGGAGACTGTTCGGGGGGATACCAAGGCATGCCCAGTCTCCTGCTCACTCCCCTCTTCTCATGAGCTATGTTCTCATGTCCTTAACATCTGCAAACATCTGCAACATGTGACGGACTTGAAGGAGCCGCTTAGGCAGGCAGGAGGGTGAGGACTGACTGGAGTTCTTGGGCACTGCCTTGAGGAGCAGAGGTCTCCAGAGCCGCACAGGAATACCTGATGATGCTTTCTGTAAGTACTGCTGTGGGATTCCCCAGACACTTTCCACTTTTTCCTTGCTGTCCAGTGAAGAGATGCATGGTGTTAGAAGTTCATGAGTCCTTTGCTCAGTACTCCAGTCTCTGCTCTCGCAGTACAATGTCTTGGGATCTTGTCTGCGAGCTTGTTATGTTCCACCATAAAATGAATTAGGTTTTGCCCCAGCTGGGGAAAAACCTTCACTAATTGCCACTCTGCGTATTTTCCTTATC